AAAATTATTTCGTTTGATTTTATTTATATCGGGTTGAGAAGGTCAAGGTCTCTGAAGGTTAAAGTGTACAAACTTGTGATGCATTTAAACCAGCTGCTTTGATTAATTTTATGTTAGATAAATTTAAGTAATCTAACTTTTCTAAAGACAAAAAAAAATGGGTTTGTGTGACTTTTTGTGGAGTGTCCCGTCTGTGTGTTGATTGTTCAGTCGGTGAACAGAGATGAGAGAAGGAGAGCAGACGCCGTCCTCCTGTGCGTCTCTGTGTCATTCATCTGTGAGACGAGAGACAGACGAGCCGCTCATGTCCGAGGGGCGGGAAACACAGCTGTCAATCACTTCACAGATAGCGGAGTTTACTTTTCCAGTTTGGCATTGGCGCTGCTGTCCTGCGGCTCAGGCTGACAGCCGAGATCAGCACGACTTTATCTTTCTCTGCTTTTGTCTCACAGACTCACATATACTTTCATTTTGAAAGTTTCAACTTTTTAAGTGACATGGGGGTGGAGTTTGATCTTTGGAATCCAAAGGGGAGGGGCTTGATATGTAAATTTCATTTTACATGTATAGGAGAATGTTGTCATTTTAGAAGGAGCATCACATTTTTAAAATAACTAGTTTGTTTGTTTTGAGACCATGAGTGGTACTTTTTACACAGGGTTATTATTATGAACTAAAATAAACCATAAAAAAACGTTTTCATTACTTGGAAAAAAAAAAAAACATTAACCAATACTAATAATAATAATGATTACATTTTTCAATTCAATTCAAGTTTATTTGTATAGCGCTTTTCACGATACAAATCGTTGCAAAGCAACTTTACAGCAAATTAAGTAGGTAAGGTAGCTTATCAGTGGTGACTGTCAGTTAATGTACATATGGCAGAAATGTACGGAAAATCAATTAAAGATGTAATCAAACAGACGATGAACACTATTAACAGCAATTATTATATGATGCATATAATAATTATGCATTATAATTATGCAAAAAATATTGATGCGCTAAAATAACTAAAACATAACAAAATAACTAAAACTTTAATATTTTAATGAAAACAGAAAAAAAAATTGTGTATATATAGGCTCTCCAAATCACTTCAGCCGTCCCATTCACACAATCAGCGCTCATTCGTCTAAACGAAATGAGAAACATGTCTGTGTTCATGCATACACATTCAAATAACATCAGCACATAAGCTACAAAACACACTCGTGAGCTGAACACACAGGCCGGGTTCTAGTGTTCAGTCTGTCTGTTTTTGTATTGTGCGTCTGGGTAATTGTAAATACAGTAGTGAGGTGCATAGTGCCACTGGAAACACACAAATGACATTTGAATCACTCTACAAAAGTAAAACTCAATGCATCACACAGATATCGCTCCTAAAGCACAATTTCAATAGAGTTTGATGTGACTTTAGAGCTAAAGATGCAATACTTTAATGCACGGCTTCTCGACCCATTGTCCACAACAACATTCAAAGGGCCAGTGATTTATATATATATATATATATATTTTTTTTTTAGATTTTATCACAATTGTATCCCCCTAAAATATTTTATTAAATATTTTTTCAGTCATTTGTGATTTATTTTTAATATCTCTCTACAAACATAAACTTGATTTGATTTCTTCAGCTTAAAGGCCTTCATCAGAAAGTTCGCCGAAAATATCGTTTTAAAGAAGTCAAGTTTATGTGTGTAGAGTGTTGCAGTTTTTTTCTCTAGTTTGACTTTTTTTTTTTTTGTTGAATCTCCTCTGAGCACCTGATTTTCAGTTTTTGGTTTTAAAGATCCAGCGATAAAATGTGCAAGTACCTGTCTGAAAGCTGATCAGATGTCTGAGCAATATCAGACCGGAGAATAACTCAAAAACAAGCGTAGCGTTTGAAGGAGGGACAATGTCAGGGTTCAGATGTGAAGACGGTGAGGTGAGCTTTGTTTGAAAGTCAGAATCCCAATTAAAAAATGTCAAAAACTCAGTCTGAGCCACAGAGACAGAAATCAAGCAGAAGAGCCAGACCGAGCAACGTCTACACGAATCAATAAAACACAGTCTGAATCTGACGCGCGCAGTCAGAAAACAGGCTGATGCAGAAACATAGGGACTAAAGCAGGTCCACAAACAGAGGAGATGCACTACTGTTCAAAAGTTTGGGGTCGGTAAGATTTTATAGTGTTTTTGAAGTCTCTTCTGCTCACCAAGGCTGCATTTATTTGATCAAAAATACAGTAAAATCTGTAAAATTGTGAAATATTATTACAATTTAAAACAGCTGTTTTCTATGTGATTATCTGTTAAACTATATATATATATATATATATATATAAGCAGTTGCTTGACTATATTTATTTGATCATATTATTTATTTATTTATTTTGTCCATTTAGGTTTTTTAATGCTTTTCAGAGACCAATAATTAAAACTTGTCATTAAAACAGCAACAACAACAAAATAAATGAATAAACAAACAAACAAATACCTGTTTTTAATGCAGTACAGTACAACAATAAAAGCTTCAGCTATTATCGAGATATGAAAATGTGATGCCCGTTTGCAGGTTGTGTTGATTGTTCTTTCGCACTGATTAATGTTTCTTCACACCCACAGAAATAATTATATGACTCTGGAGACTCAGACGCTTTTCAGTTTGGCTGGTGTGAGCGCTAACAGTGCAAACACGTCTAACAGCAGAATATAAATAAAACAGACCTGCACATCCGGACCGATTTGAGCTCCAGACTGAAGTCTGCTGCTGCTGCTCTCGTCTGAGCTATTGGTGCGTTCAAGTCATGCCGGAAAGATCGTATTTACAAGTTAATACATGAATGTGACCACAGAGTCACTATTACAAGTTGGAAATGACATGTGCATGTCAGTGAGAAAACATGCCAGACACAATAAATGCAGCATCTGTATTAATGGCAAATTTGCAATGCAATTATCTAAGTTGCATGTACAAAATACCTTAGTATTGTGCAGTGATGATAGAATACATAATTCAGTTTACGGCACCTTTATAAACTGAATAAAAATATAAAAACAGATCACATTCTTTATTCGTTATTTTGTAAATGTATAGTAAAAAATCTCAAAGTTCAATGTTATGCAGAAAAGGTGCGTCGCAATCCTGCGCCAACCAAAGTGACTTGAATCAGGGTTATTAGAGTTAATTAAAATTCAATTATTTACACTTAAAATAAAATTTAACTGTGTAACAAAAACTTGTTTTAGTAGTTGATGTCCTAAAATAATTAAAGCCAAAACTGAAATGATAATTCATAAAACAGTATTAATTTATATTGTTAATATTCAAATATTAATATTATATTATTTTTTATTTTCTGTTTTTTTATTCATTTCGTTTTTTGTAATTTTGTTGTGGTTTGTATTTTTTTAAATGTCTATATAGTTTTTATTAATTATTATTTCAGTTTTATTTTTACTTATTTTAGTACATCAAATTAAACTACATGAAAATAAGTATGGTATTAGTTAACTATAACAACCCTGATTTAAAAAAAAATCTATATAGACACATAAAAAAAAATATAATAAATATTATAAAATGACAAACACACAACAAAATTACTAAAACTTTAACTAAAATACAAATAATTCTAAAATACAAAAAATTAATTTTATAGTTTATAGTTTTCATAATATTCTGAAAACTATAAACTATAAAACAACACAGACTTAAGCGCACCTGACGTCGTAATTATGACTTCCCAACTCATAAATACGAACTTCCCAGAAGGAGAGCGATTAGTCAGAGTAATATGCATATTATCGCAAAGCTCGAATCTGATTGGCTGTAGTATAAAGTGGGTGGAGCCTGTTTGTGGATTCCCGTGCAAGAACATTCGTTTTATTTTTTTAGGATTCTTTGATGAATAGAAAGTAAAAAAAAAAAAAACAGCATTTATTTGAAATATAAATCTTTGTAACATTATAAATGTCTTTACTCTCAGTTTTGATCAATTTATTTCGTGCATGATGAATAAAAGTATTAATTTGTTTAAAAAAAAAAATCTAACTGATCCCAAACTTGTATATACAAGGGAAACAAACAAATTAAATTTTCATTTTCATTTTTTAAAGAACATTTGTGTGCAAAAATACTGCTAAACTACTAATAATATTAAAGCCAAGTCAAATTAAAAAAAATATATTGTAGAAAATGTTTACTTTAAGTAAATATGAACAAGAAATATTTTTGGATAAATTCATGTTTTTTTTTCCTTCTATAGCGCATAAATAATTGGCATAAATATTAAACCTGTCAGAGAATAAAACAGTATTAATTTATATTGTTAATATTCAAATATTAATATTATATTATTTTTTATTTTCTGTTTTTTTATTCATTTCGTTTTTTGTAATTTTGTTGTGGTTTGTATTTTTTTAAATGTCTATATAGTTTTTATTAATTATTATTTCAGTTTTATTTTTACTTATTTTAGTACATCAAATTAAACTACATGAAAATAAGTATGGTATTAGTTAACTATAACAACCCTGATTTAAAAAAAAATCTATATAGACACATAAAAAAATATATAATAAATATTATAAAATGACAAACACACAACAAAATTACTAAAACTTTAACTAAAATACAAATAATTCTAAAATACAAAAAATTAATTTTATAGTTTATAGTTTTCATAATATTCTGAAAACTATAAACTATAAAACAACACAGACTTAAGCGCACCTGACGTCGTAATTATGACTTCCCAACTCATAAATACGAACTTCCCAGAAGGAGAGCGATTAGTCAGAGTAATATGCATATTATCGCAAAGCTCGAATCTGATTGGCTGTAGTATAAAGTGGGTGGAGCCTGTTTGTGGATTCCCGTGCAAGAACATTTCAAATAAACATAAATGCATGCGATTCCACAAAAGTCAGCCTCACTTGATTTGCATCTGTGAGTCTCCTTGCATTCATTTGTGGATTTAAAACTATTCTCAACCATTACCTGAAGCCTGGAAGAAAACGTTAATGAAAATATGATTTGACCTTTATGTATTGCATTATTAATCATTTCTACCTAGTCTCTAAAGGGATGTTTTACTTAGAGATGTAGCTAGGGACAGTTTTATTCTCAAAGTACAGCTGACACACACACACACACACACACAGACAGATGAGAGAACGTCCTTGAGGATTAAGGATAAAATGAACAGCCGAATAGTGATAGAAAAGATTAAAGAAGAAAAGAACACAGGACTCGAGGTCACTCGAGGGACATTTTGAATGTATTTCCAGGCAGATTTAACATTCGGCGCAGACACGCGCCTCTGTTTGCTGGCATTAAAATCTCATTCCGCCTGACGGAGACTCGTATGAAATAATCCACGTTCATAACCCGCAGAATAACTCCTGATTGGCTCTCTGCGGATGCTAATTAAAGGCAGCATTACGAGGCAGGTGTTCGTCCCGCTCCGAATCAGCGCAGAGGACAGAGCGGTCATCATGTAGTGATTCTGTCATATGGGGTCAAAGGTCACATGTCATCCATTTAGCTTACTGTATAGTATGCATACTGTGTATAGTATGCAAATCCGACCTAGTAAACATGCAAAACAATCATTCTTATGAGATGACACTCACTAATTTACGTATGCAGCATAATGAGGTCATGTGACTGCGCTGGGCTGTAGCATAAGACTATTTGAGGTGTTTCTCTTTGCATTATGCATATTGATAGATACGGTGTGTGTGTGTGTGTGTGTGTGTCTGTGTCTGTGTGTCTGTGGTGTCTGTGTCTGTGTGTGTGTGTGTGTGTGTGTGTTTGTCTGTGTGTGTGTGTGT